GGATACTTGTTGTGTTGCATTGCTTACTAGAGCTTGCTTTCTTGGCCCATAGATAGATCTGGTTGGCCCGTCTTTTTGATGCGAGTCCTTGCGCGGATCGCGTGCTGGCTTGAGTGCGGCGCCCCTTGCCGCTCTATGCTAGCCATGGGGTTGTTTATCCGACCGAGTGTCTTCTTTAATTTTTGATTGCGGGGGCTCTAAGGCCTCCTCATCAAATTCCGGCAGTAATTTCCGCTTCGGATAGCTCTTTGTGTGACGACTGTCGCCGTACTTGTTTTTCGGTGTTGAGTACTTTGCCCCATCTAATTCTGAGTGCATCTTCCGCTGTTTTGAGCTTCTGCTTCTGCTTTTTCAGGCTACACGCAGTGGCGACGAGCCTTTTGTGGAGGTTCTTTTGCTCCAGCAACTTGTCCGGCGTGAGGTCGTCCGGACTAATATCTTCACCGGGGACGGGTTGTTCGGTTTGTTTACCCAAATTGCCCTATTCGGACGGTTGCTCGATGGCATGTTCGTCGTCCGCCGGTTTGCCCTGCTCTGTGACTGGGTCTCTGTCGAGGTGGGGTTTGGCGCGTCGATTACGCCGCCGCTTTGATTGCTTTTCGAGGGAACGATCCGTCGTTGCGTCCCTTTGTTCCTCATCGTTGTTTCTTTTAGGTGTGTCCACCATGTATACATCATGAGATGAGGTGGTTGTCCAGTGCCCTATAGGCGCTGATTCCTGTTCGTCTCCTGCATTGTCGTCCATACCGTCGATGTCTTCTGAGTCGAAATCGAGCATGTCAGTTAAATCATCGACAGTGGCTATGAAGTGGGCGGTGGGTGGGCTTTGAATTTCTTTGTCGTCTGCATCCCATCCTCGTTGACCATAGTCCGGCCAGGGCTCTCCTGATAAGGAGAGAGACTTTAGTGAATTCAGAATGTCACCGAAGGGCGAGTGCTGAAAGATGTCCGCGGGGGCGAACTCCATGATCGGCGTCCAATCGGGTTTGATCGGCAGGGGCGCGGAAGGTTCGGAGTCCGGAGAGGAGTCCTGCACCTTGGAGTCGCGAGCTTCACAAAGGACAAGACTGGTGTTTGGCTCGATCTCCGTAGAGATTGCAGGCCCCGAGGCGGTGTCCAGCCATCCGTCCTCGATTGGTGCAGTCGGCTCCGAACTAAGGGTCGGAGCGGACACCGGGGCGGCCTTGTGGGCACTGTTCGGCGGCAGAGCTAGATCATGCCTATCACGACAGTGCGGCGCGCCCGGCCGTGGCTCAAATCCGTCGAAGATCAAGTCTCCGCGGATGTCAGCCCTGTAGTTCAAGCTTCCAAATCTGGCCTGATGGCCAGGGGCGTAGCTTTCGATCTGCTCCAGATGGCCAAGCGAATCGGCCCGCAGTGCAAAGCCGCCGAATATGAAGATCTGTCCGGGGAGAAAAGTCTCACCCTGGACCGCGTCGTTGTTGATGATCGGAGGAGCCATCGGGCCTAAAGATGACGACACAGAGGAACTCTCAATAAAAGCACCAATGTCGGTGTCAAAACCGGTGGATCTCGGGTAGGGGGTTCCGAACTGTGCGTCTAGGCGGATGGTAACAGGAGACAAGGGACACGATGTTTTTACCCAGGTTCGGGCCCTCTCGATGGAGGTAAAACCCTACTCCTGCTTGATTAATATTGATGATATGGGTAGTACAAGAGTAGATCTACCACGAGATCAGAGAGGCTAAACCCTAGAAGCTAGCCTATGGTATGATTGTTGTTCGTCCTACGGACTAAAGCCCTCCGGTTTATATAGACACCGGAGAGGGCTAGGGTTACACAGAGTCGGTTACAATGGGAGGAGATCTACATATCTGTATCACCAAGCTTGCCTTCCACGCCGTGGAAAGTCCCATCCGGACACGGGACGAAGTCTTCAATCTTGTATCTTCATAGTCCAGGAGTCCAGCCAAAGTACATAGTCCGGTCATCCGGACACCCCCTAATCCGGGACTCCCTCAGAGATACTTAATGATGGCTAATGGTTCCTTCTTCAAATCAATGAGGGCAGACCTGTCATAAGAAGCAATAGATAAAGGCGGCATGCGTAGAGGCAGCCACTATGGAGGATAGTAGTTAAATGACCATCCTTAGCTAGGAGAAAACCCGATGTGTGCCCAAGATTAACCTCTTCCACAGTCAAGCAAGGTGATGAAACTAAAGACCCCAAATTGCTATAAGAATTCTCCAAGCATGGATCCCTCACGATGGCACACGTGAACCCAAGCTCAAAGATGTGTCAGAGCCAGCATCGAAATTAACCTTGACCCGACCAACCGGAGGAGGCTCAGAAGCAGCCATACAAGTACATACTCCATCCTAAAGTACAGTGCATAACATTTTTAAGTCAAATTTGTAAACTTTGACCAAGTTCATAGAAAAAATCTCAACTTTTATAACAACAATACCATTAGATTCATCATGAAATATATTTTCAGATGGTATATATTCGATATTGTGCATATATAATTTTCTCTATAAACTTGGCAAATTTTTTATTTAAGTGAGAATCGATGCACACTATTTTCATTGTGAGGAAACTTTTGAATCTATTCATCAATTGTCAAGGTACTACAAATAACACCATAAGTAAAAATTACATCTTGGTTCGTAGGCCACATAGCGACTACAAGCACCGGAGCGAGCCGAAGGCGCACTGCCATCCTCGCCTGTCCCTTACCAGAGCCGGGTAAACCTTGTTGTAGTAGACAGTCGGGAAGTCTTCGTGCTAAGGCCCTGCACGCTAACACAGTAGAACATTCACTCTCTCCAATGAAGAGAAGCGTATATAAAAGGATCCAACCTGTAGACACACGGGCATGAAGACTAGATCCACGTGGATCCACCAAAGACAAACGTCGATGAATCCCGCGAGATCTGTCACATACAAATCTCCACACACCTTCCGATGATGCTACAAGTACCACCGGACGGAGATTTGGCAGGTAGAATTATTCCATTTTTAGAGAGCCGCCACCGCCTCGCCTCTCTATGTAGGACACAAACCCTAACAAACTCAACAAAACATTGAAAAACAAAAGCCCTCCTGCCGGCAAGGACCGATATCCACCGTGCATCCATGGCCCAGAGGTCACAGGAGGTGAGGCAGACCGGCGGCGGCGCCAGCAGGAGGCAAAAGAAACCCTAGTTGACGGGAGCCCTTGCGTACGAGGCAATCGTGCTGCCGCTTGGAACAACAATAGATGAAATGACGATGGAGACAGGGGTGCACACTATATTATAGTGCAGAGGCAGTATCATGCATCTCCGTATCATCCAAGACACCAACAATATGCACAAAGAAGAACTACCTCCCCTTACCATGATAACCAGAATATTGCCATGTGGAAGCTCCTCAAGAACCTGAAAAGTAATTGTCCAGGAAGATGACCCAATCGCTATTTGCAGATTTACCATCGTCAGAATCACGTCATTCCAAAGAACACAAGCACATAGGTAATCAACATGGCTCGATAAATTAAGCAAGCAAGCTTGGACGATCTTCATTCTCTTTTGCTGGTAGCTCCAAAACATCATGGAGACCGGAATCCATGGTGCGCTGTTTAGTGAAATTAACAAGAGCATGAAAGGCATCCTCATCCTACGTACCAGAAATGTTACATGTTGGAAGAACATCAGAATGACGCTTTACTCTTTTTGTTTGACCGGTAAGCTCACCATTGTCGCGACTCAGCAAAGGAGAAAAACTCCGAGAACATCGGCATGCCAAGTCAATTTGCAAAATTTTGTTTCTCCATTTATAGCACCGTTGTGCTGCCTTGTGTCTTTTTTCTTCTGATTTTGTATGCAAAGCAAGTATGAAGGCACTCCGCCCAAGAAGCAACAAGATCTCTCGACTTACATATCGGACCACAAAGTCATCATCAAGCTGAGTCGGGAGTCTCATAATAAGGAACCACTCTCTATATCACGAGGAAATAAAACATGCCTCACCAAGTTTCCATTCCATCACTCCTCCCCCATCACAAACTTATCATACACCCATTTTAATCATGATCGAATCTTCTTCCCAACTTTTAGACAGGGGTTCCTTGGAATTCAATTATCTCTCCAATATTCATTCGTTGGCCATCATAGACTCCAAATATTTATTCCTTTTTATAGATGCAAATATTTATTCTTTAACCATTATACACTCTACAAATCACACCATGTTTCAGAAGATCAAGCCCATATTTATTGTGTTGCCAACTCAGGGCCGAAGCAACGGAGCACATAAGCCATCAGGAAGCTTCGAGATGGGCCACAGTTGTCTAGCCAGATGTGAAACCATGGATACAACTCATCTCGGTGCATGCAACCAAAATCTGCTAGTGTGGCAACAAGTAACTTACAGAAACTGCCACTGCAACAAGTAATTTACACACACTGCCACTGCAACAAACAACAAATTTATTTAATTCACAAGGCAACTTAGTAACGGCTTGTCGTCGACGTGTTTTCTCTCTCTCTCTCTCTCTCTCTCTCTCTCGTTTTGAGTGAGCCGGCTGTCATCAGTAAGTTACTCGGCCGGAGGTAAAGTCAGCAACAGACTGGTGGAGTTACCGCCCTAGCTAGTGCCAGCTGCGGTGCAACGATCGATTGGGAGGAAATTAATTACCGCTCGTCCACACATATCCAAATTATTATTGCGCCATTGAGTTAAAGGAGACCTCGGTCTTCCTTTCGGATCACAAAAGTTTAGTACAGTACTGCACATTAGAACCCTAGCTCGAGCATATCTTTCTCTATTCGGCAATGCATGTACTCTCTCCATGAAACAACTGGTTCATGTCTCTGGGCATGGATTTGATCATACGGTTTTCGGTACAGATTTCTTTCTCCAAAGATGGCTACAGGAAATTCTTCGACGCACAATATTAATGACAAAGGAGTTCTACATACGACTGGGAAAATTTCCCCTAGATTTTCTTGAATCTCAAATGACTTGGGGTCTTGTATCATGATCTCATATAATCTCAGTGCACCATCCTGGGCATGCTCACTGGCACCTTGCGCAGCGGGGAAGTGCGGATCATGGCCTCGAAGCACCCCATCGCTGGGACAGGCGAAGCCGAGCCCACCGGAGATGACGACGCCACTATCTTCGCCCGCACAGTGGCTGGCACGTCAAGGCCGCGGGGGTTCATAATGTCGGCGCCGCTCGCCGTTTCCTCCGCCTCCTCCGCGTCTGATGCTTCTGCGTCGTCTGTGTAGGGCACGTCGTCGGGTTCCTGCACGATAGAAGGATGCGCCAGGCGCTGTCTCGGCGGCGGGGGCACCGGGCTGCTGTCGACGAGGTCGAGGATGAGGCGGCCGTCCATCCTCCTGGCGACGACGCGCCCCCGTCGCGGGGCGGGCTCCCGCAGGACCACGACACGCCCGTCCGCGGTGCGCGTGCGCGTCAGCGCCCACGGCGAGCTGCCCGCCCGGCGCAGCGACGGGATCAGCGGCGGGAGGCGGTGGAGGCGACGCCGGCGCCACCCGTACGTCACCCAACACCCGCGGCCCTCCCCCTCGCCCTCATCCCAGCCCTCCTTCCCCTCAAAGACCTCCGGATCGCGCTCTCCGCCACCGAGGCAGAAGACCGCGCGGCGCGAGGCGGCTATGGTGCGCGTGGCAACGTTGCGGTTGCGGTTCACGTCCTTGTCGGCGGCGATCAGGGTCCGGAGGCCGAGGTCGGCGGCCGCGGCGGCGAAGAGCATCGCGGCCAATCAGCTATTCCGTCTGGAGGAGGGGCCGGGAGGCGAGAGATCTTCCGGAACGGATCGCTTTGAGGTTCTGTGGAGATGCGACCCCCCTATTTATACCCGTTCCGCCTCCCGACGGGGGGATTAGGTGAGCGGATAGCGACAGACGCCGTGAACTTAATTTTTTATATATATATATTTTTTGAGCGAACAGACGCCGTGATTTTTTGATTTGTTTCCCCCCTCTTCTCTTAAGCGTACGTGTGACAGATAAGCTGTGGATGGCGCGTGCAATTCCTTCTCGATCTGGGCCGGTTTTAATGTACAGCTGGGCGTGATCGGTCCGAACGTTGCGCAGCTATCCATATCTGCCCCCAGCTATCAGGAGCAAATTCCCTCAAAAAAGAAAACTATCAGGAGCAAAATTCCCTCAAAAAGGAAAAAGAAACTATCAGGAGCAATGGAGCACAGAGCTAGTACTCATTGAATTATTTTTTTGGCGATTTTACTGATTTATTTGGCTAGTTTAAAATTTTATCCGTTTAATATTATCTAGAACAAAGTACTTTGGTAGTATTCTCCATACGGGTAGGTTTTCCTCCCCTCCTCCGACGAGGCCGTTTTCCCCCACCCCTGCTCCTGTATGTGGTGCAACAAGTCAAACCTCTTCCACGTCAGACGGTGGGCGCCCCGACGCCGAGGATAGGCTTGTGAGCACGTGGATTATTGGCGGCCAAATCTATGGTACAGAATAATTTTATGGCTCGGCGTTATCGATCCGAACGTCATGCAAGTATCCAAATTTGGGACCAATAATCAAGCGACAGAAAGGAGGAATGAAGCAGAAATTTAGTATTCTTTGTTTTTTGCCTAGTTTATATCTTTGGAATTCCTTAACTGCTATATGAAAATCCTAGACTGAGATCCAGTGACACTGTAGAGCAAGTCAAGATGTAAATGATATAAACCAGGTAAGAGGGTTAGGGCTGACAGGAGATTAGCCTTAAGCTAATCACCTATCAATGGGGGCCCACCCGGTCAAACGACGGTCACCGTTGGCGCGCGTTCGGGAGGCACGGGGACGATGCATCCGGTGGCCGCGTGAAATGGCTAGGGGCTACATGAGCTATGTCACGGGGTTGTGGGCGCAAAGACCACGACACCTTGGGGTGGTGGTCGTGCAAGGGATGGGCCAAACGCAAGAAGAGACTTTGAATTTTTTGCGTATCAGGGATGATCTCCACGTAGGACGGCCCCCTAAGTCGTGGGAGGAGACGGAGATGGATACAGAGACGAAAGACAGGGGCAAAAAAGTCAACAAGAAGTCCAAAGGAGATTGGTCAATTCTTCAAGTGCCTTACCGGAATCAATGTTAGTTCCGGTTACTGTAGGAAGATAAGATTATTTCTAGAAACCAAGAAAAAAAAGGGTCGGTGGGATGAATCCTGGTTGTCACGTTATGATGACGTAGATACTCCATGTTGCACTTAGAGGGATAATGGGCAAGCATGTCCGTGACACGCTTACTGGTCTCTGCAACTTTTTCGACATTATATTTCGAAAGTTGATCAGTGTGAAGCACCTCAGAAGGCTACAAGAAGATATTGTTGTCATACTAAATGAGCTTGAGATGTACTTCCCGCCCGCGTTCTTTGACGTCATGTTGCGTCTGTGTGTCGACATTGTGGACAATATCATCGACCTCGGGTCGACATTTCTGCATAGCATGATGCCGTTCAAGAGAATGAATAGGGTCATCAAAGGATTCGTTTGTAACATGCCCCGTCTGGATGGAAGCATCGTCCAAAGCTATCTTACCCCAAGAGTGCATCTTTTGTGAGATTTATCTAGGTGTCAAAAACCATATTCTTGGTTTTCCCGTCAACAAGCACATTGGCTGGCTCAAAGGAGAAGGTTACACTATTGGCCAGATGGAATTGCATGTGCACCACTCGGGTCAACGCAACGACTTTGATAGAGCAAACTTACTAGTGCTACAACACCTAAAGGTGCTAGACCCTTTCGTGACACTGCACAAAGACACCATCACAATGAACTACCGTTATCGGGGATGCGGAAGATAGACGCCGAAGTTATTAGAGTGCACAACTCCACTTGCTTGCATTGGTTCAATGAGCGAGTTCTGGCTAATCCCTCGAAAGAGAGATATACGGACAGAAAGCTCATATACGCCTTAGCACATGGCCCTGCGGTCAACCTCACGACTTATCAGGCATACAATATTAATGGATACACGTTCTACATGGAGGCCAAAGATAATGATTACCAGAACTCAGGGGTGACGATGGTATCCATGACCGGCGGCGACTATGTAACTAAAAGATACTACGAAAGGGTCAAAGAGATCTGGGAGCTTAACTACTTTGGACTGCACAACGCAACGATGTTCCGTGTCAGATGGGTTAAGGCCGTCCAAAGAAAAAACCGGCATTTCACTACCATGTCAATACCCAATGCCGAGGGTGCTACCATGAATTTCACTGCCAAAAAAGTGCCATGTGTACATGCTAAGCACGTGACCCAATGCTTCTTCATAACCGACCCGAGAAATCCCAGTCGTGTTGTCGTGAGGAGAGGCAAAAGGAGCATCATCGAAATGGATTGAGTCACCAACGAGGAAGACTATGACCAGTACAACGACCCAATGAGGGAAGATGACGATGAAGAATACGTCAGAATAAGAAGTAGGACTACATTACCTAAGAACGAGTGTACTCTCTGTGGAAAAGGAAAAGTCACGACGAGGGGCTCAACTATTCAACAACGAACAAAAAAGGAAAGAAGATCACTGCGAAACATCGTCGATGCAGAGAAACTATCATTTATATATATACCTATTTTGTATACGCACTTAACCGCGTTATCGATCAAAGGATGTAACATATATTATGCACTAATATATCACTAATTAATATTGTGCATCGACCTTGAGTGACCGGTCAAGATGTTATGCCGGCTCAGCCTTTGAGAGAAGAAAAAGAAAAGGAAAAGGAAAAAAGAAAAAATAATAAAAAGAAAATACACTTCAGGAAAAAATAAAAAGAAAAGAAAAAAAATAAAAGTACATTTTAGAGAAAAACAAAAGAAAAAGAAAAACCAAAAGAAAAGCAAAAAAAAGTACATTTTTGAAGAAAAGGCAAAAGAAAAAGGAAAACGAAAATGAAAAGAAAAATAAAAGTACATTTTAGAAAAAGGAAATAAAGAAAAATACATTCAAGAAAAAGAATAAAGGGAAAAATAATAAATAACAAATATCTATAGCATTGGGTTATGAGGGCTGCACTACAACTTAGTTGTAGTGTGGGTTACCTTTATCCGCTCTACAACTATTGTGTATATATTATAACTGAAACTAATGGAAACAAAAGAACAAGGAGACCTTAGTAATAGCGCAGGGTCTCTTGCCCACGCTACAGCTAAGTTAGGTGTAGAGGGGCCTAGTGAGTCTGTGCTACTACGAGGTTTGACTTAGTACAGGGATCAGACGTAGCCTGTTCTTCCCCTCTCTCTCTCTCTCTCTCTCTCTCTCTCTCTCTCTCTCTCTCTCTCTCTCTCGCCTCCACCAACACCATGTTGCCCTCGCCATCGCCGACCTCACGCCGGAGAAGACCCCACCCACCCCTTGTTGCGGTCTCTCACGAGCTCCTCCTCGGTGCCGTGGTCTCCCCCGAGCCCGTCCTCGTCATTGCGGTCTCCCTCGAGCCCCTCTTCAGTGCCGCCGTCTCCCTCAACCGCCGCCTCGCAGCTTGATACGTCTCCAACATATCTATAATTTATGAAATATTCATGCCATGTTTACAATAATTTTATATGGTTTTCATGCACTTTTATATTATTTTTTGAAACTAACCTATTAATCTAGTGTCCAGTGCTAGTTGATGTTTTCTGCATGCTTTTGATTTTGCAGAAAATCCATAGGAAACGAGGTCCAAATGCCACAAAAATTTAAGGTGATTTTTTTGGAACATAAGAGACTCCCAACGCTTTGAGGAAGGATCAAAAGACCCATGAGGGAGTCAAAAACATACCCCGTGCACCCTGCCGATAGGGATGCCGTCTGAGATCGTGGGTCCCACGTAACTCCTATTAGCGTGAAACCAACACTGAAAATTCTTATAATTGGGAAACCCCCAGAAAGAAGCCTAGAACTTCCAAACCGCCGCCACAAGCCTTTGTTCTGAAGCAATCTCATCTGCAGGCCATTTCCGGCATGTTGCCGGAGGGGGAAACCATCACCGGAGGCCATCTTCATCATCCTCGCGGTCTCCATGACAAGGATGGGGTAGTTCACCCTCGGGGATGAGGGTATATACCAGTAGCTATGTGTTTGATCTCTCTCCATTGTGTTCTTGATTTGGCACGATCTTGATGTAACACAAACTTTGTAAATATAGTTGGATCATATGGTGTTCTTCCCTTTCTATCTTGTTGTGATGAATTGAGTCTTTCTCTTTGAGGTTTCATTATTATCGGATTGAATATTTTGGATTTGAGAACACTTGATGTATGTCTTGCATGAGGATACCCGTGATGACAATGGGGTATTCTATTGAGTCACTTGATGTATGTTTCGGTAATCAACTTGTGGATTCCCAAGGTGACAATGGGGTAATCTAGGCACATAGGTTGATACACATTTTTGCCCTCTTTCTCGGATAGAAACTTTGGAGTACTCTTTAAAGTTCTTTGTGCTGGATTGAATATTATGAATCTGATATTGTTTGATGCATATAGAATAATTAACTCATGGACACTTGTGGTGACATTGGAGTATCTAGATGACATTAGAGTTAACTGATGTCTATCATATGGTGTTATTTTACAGACTATGGGGCTTTTTGTGACACTTATAGGGATGGGTCAATAGATTGATCGGAAAGGATAACTTTGACGTGGTTCACTACCTACAACAAATTCATCTTATGTTCTCCGCTATTGATAAGAACATTAGAGTGATTCTTTGTCGCATGTTGAGGGATGGTTATATAATTCAG